ACATAAAGTTACTGGCTTTAATACTTCTCAAAATAATTTCAAGAAACTAAGCACAATAATAGAATGAATAAATTTACTAAAATAGGGGATTGTCTAGGGAAGTGTGCATTGGTGATAACTCGTAGTTTCAAGATGTGGAAATTGATGACAGTCAATGGCTTCTACAACACAACAACAACGAAATACAAGAGTCTTGCTTGAAGAGCAACACTGTTATTCTGGAGGGCATCGCTGATAGCAGGATATTGCAAAGCAGTTCATGCAATTCTCACAGAATGATAGCTGAAGCCTGTATCACTTGTCTCACAATATCGCAGCAGCAGCAACACACATGATACACAGTAGAAATGATAAACCCCCAACTGTCCTCAGTCTCGCCAATTTATAGGCATAAATGGCCCAGATTCAGGTACACCACCTGGATTTCCACATGAGCCAATCAGAATGTAGTCTTGCTAGCAGCTGTCACACAAGTCAGTAGATCGTAAACATCCTTTATTATTTAAATCACACGTACACCTGGTAGATTCAAATTGTCCTGCCAGAGTTGTAAACACCCTTTGTTATGCAAATCACAAGCACAAGTATAACTTGTCAATCACCTTTATGACAATTATCACAGGACAATGCACACCATTTCTTCCCATGATTCCATGCACACTTCTAATTGCAGGGTTTGAGGTAATACATGTACAACAAAAACATGGAATGCTGACAGGCACCTAACATATAATATCATAAGCATGTCTGAACAAAGTGTATATAAAGCATTTAAAACAAATGGTACATAGTGGTGCACTTCGAATCAAAATATACAAAAACTTGACAGAACAGTGAACATGCACAACCTTCATATCAAGTGTCTATTATTGAATAAAAGATGGTTGGCAGTTTGCATACAATAATTGTGTCATCCAATTAAAGATAGCTGTGTTTATTTATAATATTTGAAGTGAATTACTCATTCCATGTATGAGATTAAGTGGAATTTGTCAAAAATAAAATGGCTGCCATGCAAGTACCAGTTTTCAAACTTTGAAGTGTATATGAATTATGTATGATGACTGAGATTCTGTTCGAGAATCTTAGAAACACCAATTTTGAGGAATATTTATTACCAATCGGTCATCTTTAATTGCATTAAGAACAACAAATCATATGAATGATATGTGATGTATATGTCATGATTTATTGTCAAGGCAGGTCAGATTTAGATTTAACTGGATCACAAATGCATAAACTAGGATAATAATGTTTTTATTTGTGAAGTTAATCTGCCCATGCACGTATGAGACATAGGAATGAATGCATGGACACATAGAGGTGAAACTCTCTGTTTTATTACTATGGCAGAACAGACTAAAAATATGTAGTAATTAATTGGTGAAATTACTGTATTCAACACTAAAACAAATCATTCAATTATATTGTTACATCTCCACCATGATACCATGCAAGTTGCATAAGTATTAAGAAAACTGGTATTGAATTGTTGATCTAAAACAAAAAAGTAATTCTGAATACTTCTACGTTGTCAATTTGTGTATCATGCCTCAACTGAATTTTATGCTGATTAAAGTTCGGTTCAATTAAAGATTCAAACAAAACAGACAATCCAGAAAGCAAATGATTTGAAGTGGAAATATTTTTCACAGGTTTTTCACCTGTATCAGACTGCCTTGAATATGTTTGACATTGGGTTGAATGAAATTCTTTCTCATTTTTTAGCATGTGGTAATTTCGGTTGACCCGAAAAAGTAACCCCCTTCATACATTGTGGACAAGGAAATGTTTTTTTACCTGCATGTACTAACATATGCCGTTTAAGATCAATAAACCGATAAAATCTCTTTCCACAGTGTTGACACTGAAAAGGTCTATCACCAGTATGTGATAACAGATGTTTTTTTAGATGACCTGAATGAATGAAACTTCTCTCACAATGACTACAATTGTATGGTCTTTCACCGGTATGTGTTCGCATATGAATTTTTAAATCACTGGCCTTCCTAAAACCCTTTTCACATTCTTGGCATTGAAAGGGTTTAACACCAGTATGTGATAACAGATGTTTTTTTAGATGACCTGAATGAATGAAACTCTTCTCACAATGACCACAATGGTATGGTCTTTCACCAGTATGTGTTCGCATATGAATTTTTAAATCGTCAGCCTGCCTAAAACTTTTTTCACATTCTTGGCATTGATAAAGTTTATGTAATAATTCATGCCGTCTCAGATAACGTAATTGACGAAAACTCTTTTCACACTGTTGGCAATGAAAAGGTTTCTCATCTGAATGTGTTAATGCGTGATTTTTTAGATGGCTTGGCAAACGAAAACTCCTATCACATTGCTGGCAATGAAATGGTTTATCATCTGTGTGTATTTGCATATGCTGTTTTATATTATCAGCCTGACTAATACGCTCATCACATTGCAGGTATTGAAGGGGTTTATCACCTGTATGAGTTTGCATATGCTGTACTAAATCACTCAAACAGTTGAAGCGCATCGCACATTGTTGGCAATGAAATATAACGGAATCTGGTTGCTCAGACATGCTTTCCAAATATACTAAAATTTTCTCAAGTTCAGGATGACATTTTCTTCCACTGCTACAGATGATATGCAGGATTGTCAGATTTACTGGTTTTCTTCTTGACACAGACTGTCCTTGATGTTTGGTATAATACTCTTCATTATGTCCAATGTAACTTTTTAAAATTATGTTTTTATGATATTATATTTGGTTCAAATCCTGAAAAAAAAAAAAATTAAAAGTGATCAGGA